ATATATATATATATATATATATATATATATATATATATATATATATATATATATATATATATATTTATATATCAGTGGTTGGAAATGCTAGCATCAACCAGAGCAGCAGGCAACAGGGTGCCGGAAGGTGGAGGATGGCTATGCTGCCACCAGTGTGCTGAGGGTGTGAGCTGCATTTAATAGAACAGGTCCCATTCCGGGGAGTCGTATGCATATTTCCTCCTCTCAGCACATGAGGACAGTGCTGTCTTTTTTTAGGGGGGTCGATTGTGATATTCTGAAATTTTAGAGCGAAAATTACTGAGCTGACGAAACAAAGCCTCGGCGCTCCAAGCAGCCGAGGAAAGGCATCGTGAACCAACTGCACGTCACGTAGACCTACAAAAATGCAATGCACTTTATCAAATTAATGTAACACGATTTACGAAGTTGGAAGACAGCTATAAAATTAACAAAAGTTATCACGGATAGTTTTCCAGCTCAAAATATGTTACATGTAACCGTAGGAAATAATTAAAATACGAAACTGAATGGCATTATGCGGTCACGAATAAATAACATAATTACCGAAAAGCCATGAGGATGCTTGTGTCCGAAATTAAATAACGTAAAAAAACTATTAAAATAGTGCTAATATTTCCCTAAAAATAAATAAAGGATAAAAAGGGGATATTTTAAGAGTTTATAATCAAGTAGTCTCTGAGAGGGGTAGGCAGGCATGCGGGAGTCGAGAGACGGCCACAGGTCATTCTGTGTGAGAAGCAGACGAGCCTCGAGCGTTGACAGGAAAATGCCCACGTGACCTCCAAATCTTGTATGCTCTTTCAGCCGTGCTCACAGGTAAGTCCAGTTCGATTGCAGACATTGTTAGAATAGGGCGTGAAAAGAATTTAGCAGTAGTTAATAAAATCTCCAATTTCAGGAGTAGTGAGATACCACTTGAGCGGACAGCGGACAGCGGACGAGCGAGCTGACGGAAATGCTGTTGGCAAAGTGAGGATAGGCCACATGGTCGACCTGGTTTCACCCAGATCTCCCAGTTAGATGCGTGCAACACTTGCATGGAGGCCAACACTACACCACTTCACAGCTAAGAAATGTTCATAGAAGGAGGGAACACTAGATCCCCCTTCTAGCTGGGGCAAGGGACACCTGGTTTTACATGGACCTGACACCTCTGTCGCTCTCCCCCTCCTATAAAGTAACTGGGAGAAAAGTTTGCCCTGGAATGAAAGGTTGAACTTTGGGAGACATAGATTCCCACGGTGCTAGTGGGTACTAGGTACCTTCATCTCTTCAACTTTGGGTGTATGTGGTTTCCTTAACCAAGTCCTGGTGTGAGGTCAACGACCTGATGGTTGATCGTACACTCTGGACGTGGGAGTGCCTTTTAGAGAATTGTTTGGTGCTGTGCATGTAATTCCACTGGAGGTAATGGTGTATTCTAGGAAAGTTTTGTGGAGCATGGTTATGGGTATGGTGGAGAAAATCACGCATGACTCCTGAACCCAGAAGTAGAGTAATAAGAATAAGCGGATAAGCTGCCTACCTGACGAGTCAAGAGTGATTTTCTCAGTTAACACATAATTTTGGATTTTCCTGTATGTGCATGCCACTGGCCAGGTTATTAGTTACAATCTTCGGGTTCTGTGCATTATGAAAAATTTAGGATTGATATTCTCTAGTGATTAATATTATTTTGTGGGGTTCTCCAGACATGCTATGATTGATCCATATGGATTATTTCGTCTGGTGCAAATAATATATGTTCTATTGTGCAAGTAATATCGTTTTAATTTAATTAGTATGCTATTAATGTTGGTGTATGGCAATGTAGGATGTGTGAATGGTTTAATCCAAATACAGTATTTCCTATTGTGCCAGTAATATTTTTTTTAATTTCATTATTGTACTATTAACATTAGTGCCTATTGATGTAAGACATGTTGAGAAATTAATCAAATTGTCTCTTGTGCAATTAATATATTTATTGATGTTGTAAGGGGGTACTATCTTTGTGATACAAGTGTCATATCATTACCAGTCCGTCTCTTTAATCCCAATCGCAGCAACACCAGTCCAGGTCAAGGTAAATACTTTATTCATTTTATTTGTGCTGGTTTGGTATTCTGAGGGGCCCTTCCACTGCATTACTATACAGTACATTAAAATAAAAACCTTTTTACCGCAAGCAGTAATGAGTAGGATATAACCCTTAAACAAATATTATGTTAAGTTGTAAGTCATGTCATGTTTAGTGGGCGTGCCTGCCCATATATAGAGTATTTAGTTAGTGAAGTTACAGAGACAAGAAGTAGTAATGGTGTTGTGTGGCAGTAGGTAAGGACTTGATTGTAAGGACTTGATTTGCCCCCCAGGCCCCGTTGTGGGTCGTTTGACCTGTGCCCGGGTACAATTCCCTGCCAAAAAAAAAAAAAAAAAAAAAAAAAAACACCTGACGCAGCATCCTGTGTCAGCCCAGGCAGGGCCTGATACGAACGGCTCAACACTCTAGCTGTTACCATCATAGGGTGAACACATAACCTACTCGGTTTGAGACCTTCAACACGTAAGTTCAACTTGTACTTAAGTTTACTTAGGTAGACTGTGTCCATTGTATTATTTATCGTTGTGATAACATGGAAATATGGCAATTACTCTAAAATGAAAATCATGAATGATGGTAAATTCTCTAATAAAATTCAAATCACTTAGGTATTAACTCAAAATAAAAATAAAAATCTATGAGATATCAAGGTACTGAAAAAAAATATTCATAGTAAAATCATTCACATGAAAAACAAAAGGCTTAATTACTAATCATGCACAAACCAATGTATATAGAAAATGGATTTTAATAAAAAATAAATTTTTCAACTCCTCATGAATCTTCATCATCAATTTTCAAAATTACTAACATTTCAATATATTACTTTTCAAAGTCACTTCCCAGAACTTCTCAAAACAGATTTACTTCACTTCTTATCTTATTTACTTAAAAATTTGGGTTTTCATTCTCTCAGATAATTTCACATATATTTTTTTTCATTAGATATTCTGGTGGATCTTGTCTTACACGCACACTCTTTGTATATCTTATTTTCTGTTGCTCAGCTGGTCTCCCATCTCACAATTGATGATGGTACATCTGGCAGCAGGCACAGATCCAGAGTTAACATTTGCAGATGTCAAGGTCGCCCACAGACACTTGCTTACTGTTCACTAACTTTCAGCTTCCATCTACTATGAGTGAACAAATCGTTTCTGGAGATGTGGAATTTCTTGACTACGTTATCTGTAGGTTATGTATCTAAGCTACTGTGCCGAGTAGCAACCTTGTATATAAGCTACTGTGCCGAGTAGCACCTATGTATATAATTACGTGGCAACACTGCACATGTTATGTGGCAACATTGCCCTGAGGCTGCCATATGGCAAGGCAGTCTCAGTCTGACTGTGTGAGCCGTGCATGGCACACGCTAGTCACCACTTGTATTTCTCCTATCCTTTAATAAACGGACTTCAGTGTTACCCGGTGTTTCCCTACCCATCACTGCATTCTTCAGGGAACACTTGGAACCTTCATGGCGCAGTGACTAGGATCTGTGGACTTACAAGTGTGTGAACAATGGACAGTCTGCCAGCGATGTGATGTGCGCGTCAACTCTTCATGTGTTGTGTGTGTTGTGTTGTGTTTCACCGCGATGTGCAGTGTTGGGCCGTCACAGTGCTTTTAGTGACGGTGGCAGTGTTAGTGTCAGTGTATTAGCGTGTCTAGAGCTGAGAGTTGAGCATTGGCCTCTTTTTTTGTGGTACCCATGGAGCACGCAGGCGTACACCCTTCTCGTGTGACATCCGGGGAGACACTGACGGCCTTGCCTCCGCGAGCCACCACGCTCTGCTGTCTCAGACACACACACACACGCACGCACGCACTCACTCACGGACAGAACAGTGGACTCTATGCGTTATTTCTGCGCCGTTTATGTCATATATATGTGGTTCGAGCTGTTGAGGCGCCACTTTATATACTAAACAGTGCAGTCCACGCACACACTAAGATGGGCGGTCGCGTGCCTGAGCGCTCGGCAACTCGCTGCATCTGTTCACGCTTCCATTTCACACAAGCTACTAATAATTTGTTAATTGTACTTATTATATTATTATTGTTCTTAGCTACTTAGGTTAATTGTATATTTATGTATGTAATTTATATGCATCATTGTCTTACTCTGTTAAGTCAACTCAAGAGTAATATTAATTAATTATATAAAATATCCAGCAAATGTCTAGATCACGTGATATGAGATGCTCCTCCACGGCGTACCCACGCCACGCTCCCCAGTAGCGAAAATCCGTGGCTTAGGTTAGACGTGTCTATTCTATCTCTAGCCTTGACCTTTGTCTAAGTGCTTTATCAAGTCTTCTGCAATGCCCTAGGGGTATCAGGTATTAGTGACACGCTTAGTTAGGCCTAGGAAGGGATCCTGGTGGTAAGGTATCTCCTGTTTGGTAGGGATAATCATTTTGTATTGATTGTTGTATATATATATTTCGTATGTCTTGTGTAATATAGTAATGTTAAGTAATATTTGTTTGGTCTAACTCCTTACAGTATAGTTTCGCCCTTCCGGCATCACTCTTATTTTATTATACAATTACTTATTCACTTAAATTCATGTTTGCTAATCATTACTCCCTTTAAAACATAAATTGAATTAATTAATTATCTTCCATTTTGTAATTCACTTATTTCAACTGTTCTTACTTTTTCAAGTACATTTAGTTGAGTAGGTATTTGGTGGAGATAATTATTGCCGTGTTCCCTGTTTGTACCTTTATTTGTTAATAACTTGGGGTAGGATTCACTCCCCAAGTATAAAGGGTAGTGGGATCGCGACAAGTGGGGGCCTGTGTCCGGGAGCTAACCGCCATTGTTGCGTCATATCAAGTGTTGTTACTCGCCAGGTGTTGTTTCATCGCTAAGTATTTTTGGATGCAAGTTGCTGTGTTCACAGTGTTCATTTATATTGCTCCTGTTATTGCTTAAGCTACTGGTGAGTTAACCCTTATCTTGTGTACCAGGTGTTTGGTTAATCCCTTGCTGTGTTTCACAGTTTATTGCATTTTGACATTATTAATTAGCTAGCTAGTTAGCTTAGCTGCCACGGTTATTTTTTTTCGCTACTCGATTTTGAATTCAACATGTTTGACCTGGAAAGCTTTTTGGCTTCACCTTCAGCCGAAGTACTGAAGGGGCTTACTAAGGCAGAGTGGCAATCCCTCGCTGCTTATTATGAAGTAGAAGGCCGCTCTTCCATGAATAAGTCTAGTTTAGAAGAGGCTGTCCTCAATTACCTTATTGACAATGAAATCATAGCCCAACCGTCGGGAAATTCAGAGGAAATTGTTACACCAAGTAATTTGGCCTTACAAGTTGAACTCAAAAGACTCGAGGTGGAGCTGGAAACTCTCAAACAACGAGGTTTGGCTCAAGGTAGTAATACTTCAACATTCAGTGTAGACAAATGTCTCAACAGTGTTCCTAAATTTAATGAGGAAGAACCAGACAAATTCTTCTCTCTTTTTGAGAAAATTGCCCGACTTAACAAGTGGCCTGTTTCTCAATGGTCTCAACTTATTTATAGATCTTTCACTGGTAAAGCATTAGATGTGTTTTCTGCCCTCTCTGAGGATCAATGTCGAGACTATGCCCTTGTTAAGTCCGCGGTTTTGAGCGCGTATAAACTTGTTCCTGAAGCCTACCGGCAACAGTTCCGTAACTGCCGGAAGACTGACAAACAAACATTTGTGGAGTTCTTCAGGCAGAAACAGGTTCTTTGTCGGAGGTGGATTGAAAGTGAGTCTGCCCATGTAGAACATGACAAGCTTGTTGAACTAATCCTGCTAGAGGAGGTTAGAAAGTGTATCCCAGGCGACATTCGAGCACACTTGGATCAGAGAGGTATCTGTACCCTGGCTGATGCTGGTCCAGTGGCTGACCATTATTCCTTAACTAATAGAAATGTAAATTCCAGGTCTTATGCTCCCATGTCCCAGTCCTTCACTTCCTTCAAGCGGCCCACACCAACATCTACATCGGGGTCCCTGCCTCTTGTCATACCGACCCGACCCTCAGGTTCTGCATCATCTACCCCGGGTGAGCCCATGGTCCATGGGACAGGTGGATCCACTCCTACTGGTGAGAGAAACTCTAGTTGTAGGTACTGTAAGAAGCCAGGACATGTCATCAGCGACTGCCTCAAGTTAAAGAAAAGAAATTCCTCTCACCATGGATCCCCCACTCTTTTGGTCAGGGTGGCCGAGCAATCGGAGAAATTATTGGAGCCCTGTGTCACTGCCCTCAGTCAGACTGTTGCCCTGAATGCTTCCCCCTCTTCTATGATATCAACCTTTGAACCATTTTGTTCTCCTGGTTCTTTAGCTTTGGATCAATTCAGTCAACCCATTTCTGTTAAACTCTTGAGAGACACAGGCTCAGCCTTATCTCTTGTTACTAAAGAAGCTGCTCCATTCCTGGATTCATGCTATACTGGTAGCTGGGTGCTTGTGAACGGTTTGACCGGTGGGTCGCGTATTCCCCTTTGTCAAGTGTACCTGCGGTCATCCATAAAGTCAGGTTATGTCACGTTAGGAGTAGTAGATAGCTTACCTGTAGGAGGGGTCTCTCTATTGATAGGAAATGACCTCGTTGGCGACATGATGTTCCCTAATGTTGTGATCTCATCTTGTCCCACTGCCGAGAATAATACTGTGCAGTTAGAAGTAGACTTTCCAGGGTTGTTCCCTGCGTGTGCTGTGACCCGTAGCATGAGCCGCAGTACAGAGGTAGAAGAGACTAGTGAAGTTGATGAAGTTTCCCTCCAGGACTGTGAGAAGTCCGAGGATAATCTTGTTCAGCCGGACCATACTGATCTTGGTCTCAGTGAATTCTTTGAGGATTCCTCACCACCAGATAACCTCCAGAGTAGTTCTGATGGAGATAGGAACCCAGATGTCACTAGTTTTGGTTCCTCTCCCATCACTAGAAGTAAGTTTATTGAGCTACAAGCAGGGGATCCTGAGCTGGTAGGTTTTCTCAATAGGTCAGTCACTGAGACAGAAGCTGAGCAAGAATCAAATTGCTACTACACTAGGTCTGGTGTATTAATGCGGAAGTTCCGTCCCTCCAATTCTCCTGCCAATCACCCTTGGTTAGTTCATCATCAAGTTGTTATTCCCAAACCTTTGCGGCAGGACATACTTAGTATCGCTCATGATGGGGTGGGTGGTCATTTAGGAGTTAGGAAGACTTATGCAAAAAATTTATTCCAGTTCTTTTGGCCTAGGATGAAGAAAGACGTCAGCTCTTACTGTCGCACTTGCCATGATTGTCAGGTAGCGGG